TCACCTTCCTCTGTCCTAAATAGTTCAGTAAGTTCAATAATAGTTCAAAATTCATGTTTGTTTGTTTGTAAGACAAGATATCTGTGATCTTTTGTCTTTTTCTAGGTTCATAGAGGGGTCACCTTAGCGCAACCTGAGATGAAAGGTCAATAAAACACTTGGTTGGACTGACGTTTGACATAACCTCTCAACTGTTTAACCTTTGTTTTTAATGACACCTGCAATGATCTCAGTGTCAGAGGGATGCCCCTGTACTTTAAACAGCCAGTAATGATTGTACAGAGATAAGATGATGTGTTTGTTGGCTGTGTTAAAGGTTAAATTGCACCTTGCTTCCAATAAACTACACTGTCAGAGCGCTATGTTTTGTTTTGGTGGAAAATTCATGACTCCTGCAAGCATGACTGACCTAATCCAGCCCAGGCAACAAAACAAGTCTGGGCTTGTTTTGTCTATTAAAATCATGGTTTGTCCAGATCTCACAAGCCATGAAATACTATTGAAAGCATTATTATCACTGCCAAGTTGTGTATCAGGCTTAACTGGATTCTGGAAATCCTCTATTATTATATGAAAGGCATTTAATAGTTTTACGATTTTGCTACTTACTTTTATGAAACAAAGTAGCAGTGGGTGGTTGGCATATTTGGGGATTTGCTTCTAGAAACATTCCCCAACCGTTTAAAAGTGCACATAATTTGATATAGTTTTATGTGTTGTGGCTTGATAGCTTAGGGAACTTTGGCCGTGTTGAAATAGTCTTGTGGAGGGTTGTTGGGCTGAGTTCATGCTGGTATGAAAGGGGAAATGTAGGCCATTGTGACAAACAGAAACACACAAAATAACTCTCTCACCACGCTTTCACAGAAACATCCATCCCAGACAGTCTTTTCAGTCATCCGTCAATTGTGTGCAAAACATAAAAATGCCCCTCAGTGGGTATTGTCATCTTTTTGTGCCAGTGTAGTGTTGGTAATTGAAGGTTTCTTTGGCAGTAGTCAGCAAGAAGTGCCGCTCTGGGGCACCCTGCTGCTGAGGTGTTTTTTTTTTTGTGTGTTTTTTTTTTTCATCAGTTCTAACATTTCCACACCTTACTGTTGGCACTCCCACTCTCCCCTCATAACTTCGGCTGGAGCTTTCTCCTAGAGGTGTTATTGGGGGGCTTAAATGTGCTGTAATGTGGAACAGAGGGAACGAAAACGTGACCACAGCAGTTGAGAAGAGCTCCAGGTGGGACACAGTCAGTGGTGATCAGCCACATGGAATCTAGTGAAAATTTAACCGCTTAGGAACTTGAGGCACAGCACTCATGTGGCCCTCAGTAGTTTCCGTTAGTCAGTCGATGTAGAACAAAGGTCCCAGCCCTGTTTTCTTTCACTGATTTCTTAAAGCCTGTGTCCACCATAGACATGCTGTGTCCAACACAATGATAGATGTGGTTGTTGATCAGTTGCAGTGACTCAGTGGTTCACTAGGTTTTTAAAAATTGAAGATGGTGCTGTGAGGCAGTCGGCCATTCTCTTCAAAAAAAGGAAACCAGAAAGCAGCAATGTAATATTTTCATGTCTCAGTGCTAGTGACAGCCGTGGCCGGAGGCATAAAGCATTGAAGTATTCAGGGAATTTCTTCAAATTTGGCCCAAACGTCCACTTGGACTGAACGAACTTATCAGTGATGACTTCTCTCTGTTGATGGTGGTCAGTAGTCAGAATTCATACACATTTCATGATGCAATTTCAGACAAATGTCTGATAGGATAAAATGACAAAGTTATGACATTGTATACAAAAGGTCAAAAGTCAACTTCACTGTGACAACATGTTTTCTGGCCGTTGTGCAACATCATAAGTAACAGAAAAGGAGACATTTGGACGGATACTGAATAGGTGACACCAGTCTTGGGTGTCCATCTTGAAACTGTTCCAATTGTATAGATCTTCTGTGCTGCTCGTTTGAAAATGTGAAGCATCCACGTTTTCTTTGCAGCAACATCCATATGTGAAGCATTGTCTACTATCATGGCTACAGATAGTAGAGTCTGGACAGATAACTGCGGCTTGGCTGGTTTGCGGAGGCATACAACCACGAGGTGGTATTTCTAGTTTAACCTACCTCTTCACAGTTTCAGCATCAGCTGACATGTCTCAGTTGTTACATTCCTTTACAGCCCATAAAGTTAAACAGCTGATGTGCTTTTAACCTCATTTGGCCTGGTATCTTGTGGTCTTTTAACCTAACTGCTTTGTTTAAACCTTTCAGAGGTTTCATATTCTTCTACAATGATAACTTTGGAGAGTCCCCATCAGGGCAGCAGATCCCAAATTGATGGCCGCTGGCTATGTCCAGTTATTCCATCCCTTACTCTCTATCCCATTTCTACCCAAGCGGTCATGGTGAGGTCACCGTCCAGTCTGCAGATTGTCAGGCAGCTGAAAGAGAGGTACTGTCGGATCCCTGCATAAGGAAGTGGATGGCGTGTCTCCCGTGTGGCCGCGCTGCTGTGCAACCATCGTGGGGCAGTTGAGAATAGCTCAGGCTCTCGGTGAGGAAATGTCACCAGAAGAGCAGCAGCAGCAACTCAGAGGCCCCCTTAGGTCCTGCCACATAACTCCTGGGGGAAGCAGATGGCACATGCCCAGAGCTATTTTTAAGGCTTCAGGAGGGCAACTGTCCCCCTCTGTCTCCCAAAATGACTTACGTTGACCGAAAGGCAAGCACAGACCACAGTGTTTGTTGTGACATTTGTCCTCCTACCCGCAACGTCATGGTTTTGATTGTGGAATGTGTTCAATGGAGCGAACCAATAATGCAGCATTTTATTCATCCTATTATTTTTTATTTAACCAAATGCAGTGGTACTAGGTCAAGGTGCACAGCCTGCTCTGGAGCTGTAAGGGATTCTGTCTCAAGACCCTGACACACCAAGCCAACTGTCGGCCGCTGGTCAATGTCAGGCCGTCGGTGAGCGTCTTCCAGCCTAGTTTTTGTGATGTGTCAACTGTTGTTGGCACTATTCGACCTTTGTCGGCCCTCATTGGCCCTTGCTGGTCCTTGTTGGCCCTTGTCAGAGGCTTTTAATGTGTGTTGAATTTGCAGCAGAGCCCGTCAGTGACTGAAATCACTCTGATCTGCAGTTTAGCTCAGTGGATCAGAAGAGAAAACGAAGTAAGGAAAGGGAACAAAGGACTGAAGTCAAGAGGACATGAAATCGTAACCAATGTGTTAAATTAGGTATAATTATTTTTACCTTTTTACCAGAAACAGTTTAGAATTGTTTTTGATATTTTTGGCTGGTGCACAGTTCTTCCAACAACGGGTTGTGTTGTTAATGTGCTAACCGGCTATCTAGTATTGAATCCGTTCTGTTGGTCTTCTGATTTCTCATGATGAATACAGGCTACCACAGCATGCTGGTATGGAGAGTTATTTCCTATCATGCATGTGCAGAACGGACGTGCTAGTTGGCTGTTGGCTGTAGTCTTTGTGGTGTGTTCAAGTACAACTTTTTGGTTGAGACACAGGTAATGTGAGATGATGTAACAGACAGCCTTTGTCTCCTCTATTTATTGATGTCAGTTTGGTGTGTCTGGGCCTTAACAAATAACCACCCACACATTTACCAATACACATGACAGAGAGTTAAAAAAAAAAAAAAACCCTCAGTGTCAGGACACAACACTGGATATGCCTCCTTTTGGGTACAGCTAGTCTTTGCCAACAAAAACTTCATTTCCTTATGATAATAAGTTGAAATGAGCAAAGAGCATGTGACAGCCATGACACATATCCACATGTTCAAACAAACGTGTGTAAATGTATAGGCTTGCCGCACTCTATTTGCCCCCGAGCCCTACTTGTTGCCTGGATTCTGACTGGCTGAGAGAAGTGTGGAAATCCACATCTGTCGAGCCGCAGGGTGGCCGCCCCCTTGTCCTCCCTCCCACCCTGCCTCTCTGGTTTTCAACCAGGTCTAACTGCTAGTTCCGCTCTTGTTTGCAAGCCAGGAAGAGGCCCCCTTGCTGTCCCCGCTATCTGTCTTCTGCGTCCAAATTTGGAAACTTTTGACATGTCATCTTGTTTGCGCCATAGCAGTTTGCAACACGCAGCCTGTCGGTCTCTCAAAGTCCATGTTACATATGGGGAAACATGCACTGGCAGTAAAGCAAGATATCCATTGCAGATGCCCCCTCTCGATCTTAACCCCTTACCACCACTCCAGTATTAACGTTGCAGGCTCACAAAGGCTGTTTCAATGAAGCCAAAGGGTATTTGTCAAATATCGATGTGTATCAGTAAAAATGTTGCTTCACCTTCTATCTAAATGACTCCAGGTAGACTGCTTGCTTGCTGTGTGTTGAGTAAAATATTGGTGTAGGCGGATTTTGACACAGGGCCCTAATTTTAAGTGGTTAGGGATAAAGGGTGTGCCTATGCGGCTGCCACAGCAAATGTTGACAGTGGGACTGCAATGTTTTGTTGTAAACCAAGTAGGCTAATTCTGCCTCGGCTTATGTTGTCACCTGTACGAATAGGATGATGGAGACAGAGATAACCAGAAAGACTTGCATTTAGATGTCCCACACCACACCTCTGCCCACAAAAGCCCTGACAGATGGGCCCATGTAACAAGCACACATTGTCACCATAGCAGAGCGCACGCTCTGTTGGATTCCTAGCCTTATAGCTGCCTTTGTTGTGTGTGTGTGTGTGTGTGTGTGTGTGTGCATGCATATGAGATATGTGACAACAAAGGAATGCACATTTCCACTTCGTTTTTTTACATCTCTTGTCTGTGGTTGTCCTTTGTGCCATTGTATCACGTTGAGTAAATTTGTAGTTGATTCATTTCATGTTAAACATTTCATCCCGGCTGGCATTTTCCCATCGCCAACAGTAGAGTGGAAGATTAAATATAATGTCTGTCAACAGGGTGGCTTTTATCAGTGATTTCCAGGTTTTCCCTCTTTTGTAAAATCTTTTCTTTTTTTTCTTTTCAACAGGACGCATGGGCCTCAACTTCCATCATCCTGGAGCAGACCACATAATGCCATTGAACAGTAAGTCATATTTCATTGTAGTGTTTGCCATCTTCTTCCCCATCTGGAATTCATCAGAATTGTCTCAGTTTTGCTGATGAAAGTGTTGCAGCATTAAGAATGGGAAGTATTTTAGTAGTGTTCCCATGAACCACATATACCCCCTACCCACAGTGGCCCATGTGTGTGTGCACTGGGCACACCTGCCTACCCTTTGCTAAGGCCTGGATTCCCTGACACCGTAAACCTAGGACAGACCTCTAAGCACAGTTGACCTGTGAATAGCACTTCCAAAAATACCCCAGCATGTAAGACTAGATTCCCCCAGTGTCCCACCAGCCAGCAGATGACCAACAGTGACAGGAGATGAGCCAGAGAGAGAAATCAGGTCTTTATATCATATGCTCCTACACGGATGCCAGAAAGTTCTCCAGGCTCAGGCTCTTCCAAGTGCTCTTTATTTGTCTTTGGATGGGATCAGAGACGTAATTTCTTTTTATGCCTCCACGCCGGCGACAGGTGTGGCCATAGGCATTATGTTTTCATGTGTCTGTCATTCGTCCATACCTCTGCACGTCCATCTGTTCATTCTTGTGAACATGATATCTTAAGAACTGCTTGAGAGAATTTCCTGAGATTTGGCACAAACATCTACTTGGATTCAAGGATGAACTTTTGGTAGTCAAAGGTCAAAGTCATTGTGATCTTGTGTCCATCTCATTCTTGTGAACTTGATACTTCAAGAAAGCTGTTAGGGAATTTCTTTAAATTTGGCAAAAATGTCCATTTGGTTGAATTCTCTTCAATGAGAGAAATTGGTGGTCAAAGGTGAAGGTCATTGTGACCTCACAAACTGAAGAATTTGTTGCTAATCATGACAGATTTCTCATAAATGTCTAATAGGATAAAATGAAAGTGATGACATTTTAGATCCAAAAGGTCAGCTTCACTGACATGTTGACTGTCCATTATTCAACTACTCAGGGAGACATTTGGTGAGATACTGCACCGGTGACACTAATCTTGGATGATCATCTTGAAACTGTCATCATCATCTGTGCTGCCGGGCTGTAGATGTGTGTGAAGCATCCATTTTTTAGAATATGTAGCGTCTTTGCAGCAACATTCATATTTAAAGCATTGTCTGTTGTCATGGCTACATGACAGACACGGATGTAAACTGCAACCTCAACTTGACTGTTTGGCGGAGGGATACAACCAAAGGCGGTAATTCTAGTTTGGCCATGTTCTCTAGTCCTTTTAGGGGGAATCATGTTTTCCTTTTTTTTTTTTTTTCCAAACCTCAGCAAAATATCAAGAATGTCTGGACCGAGTGATGATCAAACCAAATCAGCGAAGCCCTAGTTTCCTCTCTGGTCATGTTCAGCTGGCCTACAGGGTATGAAAACGGGTAAAGGCAGAAGATATGTAACATAAAATAAACTTTCTTGGTGAAGCAGTTTCTAGCATCACATCTTGACAACACTGGTGCTTCTTCCTCATTTTGTTCTTTTCATCACTCATATCCTCGGAGAACATGTCCCAGATTGATGTTAAACTGTTGTGTCATGGGATTACACTCAGGCAAGCACAGATCTGCCCAGATCTTCCAAGTCTGTCAGAATTGGCTCTCTCCACTGTAGCTTGTGATGTGTGTAGACAGGAAAGCTTTGGTTTCAACTTAAAAGTGTTTTACTCAGTGTTTCTCCTTCATTTCGTCCCATTAGCTTTGAGGCTTCACGCTGTGAGAACCTGTAAGGGCTCTACTTTCTCCGGATGGTGTTAGCACTTGAAGTGAAGAAGAAAGGATGGAGAGTAGTATGCCTAGGTCCTTTTTTCAGATTTATTGGTGTTGTTCACTTGACAGCTTAGTAGAAATGTCTGAGGCTTTGAAGCCAAGCAGAGCAGGAGACCTCAAACTCATCATGCCCAGAGGAATCACCCACCCTTCCTTTCAAACATTTTCTCTCTCTCTTCCAAACACCACACAGTTTGAAGTTAGTACTTATTCTTAACCCTCATTTTTCCCTTTCCTCCTCTCCCTCATCAGTCACATTCTCCCTCACTGGGGCATCTGCCGGTTTCCCACATAACGTTTTCTTCATGTCGTCCTGGTTGCTAGGTGACTTTGTTTCTGCCAAGGCTAGATGGCGAGAGGGCAAAGCTGCAGAGAGGCTGCCCAGGTTTTCTTTGGATTGGAGAGTCAGATCGTTTTTAATGAAAACATAGCAAAGGAGAAGAGGCTCAGAGACAATATATTTTCAGAGAGAAGCCAGAGGGGCAAGTCACACAAAGGGGCTCTCACAATGCAAAGGCCCATATTGGTTTTTGAGGCGACAAGTCTGCTTTGTGACTGATGGGTTAAGAGGAGCAGGAGGATCTCTTTAGCACTGTTACCCTTCCTGCTGTTTGTTTGAATTTGTTCCGTCTTAAGCCACATTTCGCCTCCTGTGTGGTTTGCATTCGTAGCACAGCAGATTGACATTAAACTTGTTTGTGGGAAGATTTCAGAGATTAGGGAAATGCAATCCTTAAACAAGATGTAGTATGTAGCGTGAAAGTTCATTTTTGATCTTGAAAGAAGTGGAATAACTCAAGGTGAATTAGAGCTTTTGAATCCATCTCACGGTACATTTGCTGAGGTGTCATGGAGATAATTCAGCCGCCAACTCGTGATCTATGGAAATTCTCGCCACTTGATAACAGGTGGTTGTTTATGGGGAGAAGACCGTAAAATGCATTTGGAAAAAGCTGCTAAGTGGACTTTGATGAACTGGAATTAACGTCGCCACTCCAGTGTACAATTACTAGCTTTTTCCAGAGCTTTCAAGTAAATATCCTGGTCTTTCCTAGTAGATGGAGTTGTCATGGAGATAGCACAGATGTCATCGCGCAACCTAAAAGTGGAAATGTAGTCATGTGCTAACAGGTGGTTGCATTAAGTGGGAAAAGGCTATTAAGTAAACCTTGACTAACTGGGAAAAAAGTATCTCCTTTTGAGAAAAAATCTGAACTCAAGGTCTATTCATTGCTTTTTTTTTTTTTTTTTTTTTTAGATGTTATGGATCCATTTAGGGGGTGTCCAACCACAACGTAAGACTCAAGGGGCAAAGAGGTTGCATTTAATCCCTTAATTACTCAGGTGTGTTTTGGGCGTATCATGAATTCAACCAATCAAGAGCCAGGAGCACCTGCACCAGGCACACCAGGCTGTTTACATGGTGGATTCGGCAAGTTGGAGAAGCAAGCGGTTTTTCTGAGTAATGCAGAAAAAGCAAGGATGTCATTACAACAGATATCATCATACATTTAAGCAACAAAACTAAAGTCATAAATTTGACAGAGGAAACAGAAATAAACTTTTTGCTCCTGAAATAATCAGTGAAGTTACGCTGCTCCTCGTGCACAAATGCACACAGCGGCTCTCTATGGAGGCACATCTTACTATCTGAATAGTGCGCCTTTTATATAGCAGGAAAATACTGTGCCATCAACTTTAGATCAGGTTTTTGTTGGTCAGTGGCACGATTGCTTTCTGCTGCTTCAAAATAGCTATACACCAACAATCAAATCAAATCAAGTTTATTCATATAGCACAAAGCGCCTGACCACACCTCAGTTCAAGACCTACATGTCTATGGCTGCACAGATAGGCACATTACACAATGTGGGTGCTGGCCATGCAATGACTATATCAGTCTAATGACAGCAATGACAGTTTTCTTGGACCTTAGGTGGGGAGGAGGGGAAATGGGCCAAACAAAAATAATCAAAGTGAAAGTCAAATAAATTAGATTGTTTCTGTCATTTTAAGTAATTCTTATTAAGCTGATGTGTGCTCAAGTGTTAATTTTTCTGAAAAGTTTAGTTTTAATTAGTTATGTGACGCTATAAAAAAGGGGTGTGACATCATGATTGACAGCTCTGTGTATCATTCAGTGTGCTCGCGATCAATGGTGCTGCACGTGATCGGGCTGGACAGGCGTATGGGCTTCCTGCTCATCAGTAACTGCAACTCAACTTCACGATTGCTACTGCGTAGACTCTGGCTCCAAATTACATAATCAATGCAAGATGGCAGTGGAAACATGTCGTCCATCTTCATATACAATCATTGATTAATGGTGGTCCACATACTTTTGGCCATATGGTGTATTTTTTCACAGGGTCCTTTGAAAAAAAAACCCCTGAAAGTTCTAAACAAATTTTACCTGTGGGGAAAAACAATTCCCCAATTTGGATTTCCAATTGACATTGTAGCCTCGAAGTCACCTCACCAAATGAAAATATGATCCTTATCAAATAAGCGTCAGAAATATGTGGATGTGTTCAGAGGTTGAAGAAAACAAATGATCATTTCACTTTATTTTTCAGAGTTTAAGCAAAATGGTGAGATGATAACAGTTGGCTGTATATGGGAAGGAGATCATGGAATATGGTTGAAAGCTCAGGAAAAAGCAAATAAGCTTTGCACAGTTTCTTTAGATTTCATCTGAGTCACTGCAGTGAAAGGAGCATTAAAAGATAAGAGCGAGATCATGTGGAGAACTGTCACATGTGACCAGCTGATAAACATGATCACAATGCTGTACCTTCGCCTTGCCATAGATTTTTATCCATTCAGCCCTGACATCATAGCCTGTTCTCAACTGCCCACCTCCTCTCTGCATGTCATCCTCACTTCACGGAGCCCTGAGGCTGCCAGCCACCTCCGTACCCTCTCCTTATCCTGTGGGAAGTTTCCACTCGCATCTGGCCTGCCATACCTGACAACTTTTAATATGTCACCAAGGCCATGATAATGACTAACCTGCTCTACCTTCAGTCCTGCAAGCACTCTGCTTTATGGCCTCATTGGTGAATATTCACAGAAGATTATCACGAACGCGAGCCATTGTAGGTTCATTAAAGTGAGATTATGATCTCCGGCTATGGGCCGTTGCATTATGCTGCTAAATATCTCAGCCATTTCCGTGGCTAAACTTCACCTATGCGCTCCCTCTCCCCACCCCACTTCCAGCATCTGCATGCGTTTGTTGCCAAGGCAGGTGCAGCAGGTTTACTGTGGGCTGGTGCCAGGCTGTGATAATCGCCCTCCTCCCATTGCCGAGGCTTAGGTGTGGCCATCTGTGGTTCCTCTGTTGCCTTAGAGATGTTCCTGGTTTTGGTTTATTTCCACAAAACCCATGTCTCTGTATCTCTTTCCTGCCCTTGTTCCTGCCCCAACCCTCTGTCTCTCCTTGTGTCTCTCCTCCCCCCACTGTGCTGACAAGCAGCCCGGAGCTATGGCCGCAGAAGAGGTAACGTGTGGCATTTTCTCTGGGGTTCTGCTTTCCATGCCGGCCGTGTCTCTCTCCGAGGCTGAGGGGGGTCTTAGTGTGGTGTCACTATCTGCTTTTCATCTGTGCTGTGATTGAATGAAATCATATTAATTTTGACACCGTTTTCCATGTTGTGCATTTAATCAACATTGGGCAAGGGTCCACCAAATCTGTCTATATGAATTTTGTTTTGCTTGATGGTGAGAGGAAAAAAAAATCAGTTCATTTTCTTTTCTCTCTATTCTGAGTCAGTGTTCTACCTGTAATGTGTATAATATGAACTATTGTGCAAATTAGGTGTGTTGTGTTGCAAATACACCCAAATGTGAGAGAAAAGTAACAACAGTTCTAAAAACAAACAAACAGAAAAAAGCATATGGTCTATTCGCAGTATTTGGTACAGCAGGGATGGACTCATCTCATTTCTCCAGGCAACGGCAGGGTGATGCTGCCACCAAATCCAACGCTAAACCTTTTCAAATGTTCCAGCATGTTTGGTTGGAGTGCTTCCAAAATTCATCTGTTGGGCTTCATGAAGGAGTACGCTGACTCAGAAGTGATTCATCATCTGAATGGCAAAGATGGGTGCTGCCAACGTGGCTCATCTCTGATTTGATGTGCTTTTTTGACTAATTCTGTCTTTCTTCAGCAAGGAGGAAAGCTGCTGTGTGACATTTGTAAGGTCACTGCACGATTGGGCTGCGGTTATGTGTTGTAGCTGTAGAAGGAGACAGAAAGTGCAGTATTCCTTACTGTGTAAAAATGTGATTCTTTACTACATTTATTAAACAATCAAACCCTGCTAAAGAAAGAGAGACAAATGTGGCACCGCTGCATACAATGTACATAATTACATTTGAACAAGAAACACTACAATCAGAAAATTCACTTAAATATTGCTCAGACAATGCAACAGTGGAAGCCTCGTAGTGGGAACCATAGTTAAAGACTTCCGCGGGCATGATGTGTCCGACAGAGAGAGAATACCGTAACCAGGCTCATTACTGACTGATCAACAGTCTCTCTGTTCTCATTAAGTGCTGCAGTTCAGCATGTTGCTTACAGGTCTGGAAGCCTGGTATTTTAATGAGGCTTAGGAGCGGGAGTCACTACGAGGTTCCCAAGATGACATTATGATATCATAATTAAAATTTGATATACACCATAGCCAAAAGTATGTGGACACCCAGACATTACACACATCTTTCCACAAGACTTGGAACCTGAGAATCATTGTACTTTCCAAATTACATAATCAATGCAAGATGGCAGTGGAAACATGTCGTCCATCTTCATATACAATCATTGATTAATGGTGGTCCACATACTTTTGGTCATATGGTGTATTTTTTCACAGGGTCCTTTGAAAAAAAAACCCCTGAATGTTCTAAACAAATTTTACCTGTGGGGAAAAACAATTCCCCAATTTGGATTTCCAATTGACATTGTAGCCTCTAAGTCACCTCACTAAATGAAAATATGATCCTTATCAAATAAGCGTCAGAAATATGTGGATGTGTTCAGAGGTTGAAGAAAACAAATGATCATTTCACTTTATTTTTCAGAGTTTAAGCAAAATGATGTGGATAATTTCACTATCCCAACTGATTCTGCTACAGTAATGGTTTCCAGATGTTAATAATTCATTAATTCATCTCTCACACTCTCCTTCCCTTTTTACTTCACACTCTTGTACCTCTCTGTCCTCCCCTGTTATCCTTGCCTCTCTTCCTGGTGTCCTTCTCTCTTCCTCTCCTCCCAGGTCGTTCCTGTCTTTTTCCCTTCGAAGATGGTTTCCTCGACGACGGTCACGGTGACCCCTCCTTGACCCCGGGGCTGAACTCGCCTACCCGCTGTCAGAACGGAGAGAGGATGGAGCGCTACTCCAGGAAGGTCTTTGTCGGAGGCCTCCCCCCTGACATAGATGAAGGTAAAGGACTGTTTTTCAGTTATGCACCACAAGAAAAGTCATCACTTAGAGTTTCTTTTTTCAGCTCCTCCCTGCTGCAGATTTATACTGATACTTAATGTATAGAGCACTCACACCTGGAAGCCTCTCAGTGCCGTCTTTGTCTTTGGCTGTTTGCCACTAAAAGTAACACTGAAGTGCTTGAGCCTCACTTAAGGGCACCTTGACACCCCTTGTTGAGGATATTAATTTATCACACTATGAAGACACTGCAAAACTGTGATGAAAAGTCTGGGTTTGCTGTACAATTTAAGGCTTTTACACCAATAACCTCTAACCAAAGAACAAACTTTTGACAGGCTATCAAAGTTAAAGGAATAGTTCAACATTTTAGGAAATACACTCATTCAATTTCTTGCCAAGCGGTAAAGTCGAGATGAAATGAAAAATGCCTTTTTAACCCTTTTAGATCACAAAAATAAAAAATGCCAATAAATAAATAAATAGATGTTTGCCACCTTAAACTTTGCTCTGTTCCCCCAAAATATCGTGGTAACGGGCCTGGTGGCTAGAATTGATTAACGTTTAGGAAAGTATCTGTGACAGGTTTATGCACAAGTCATTTTACAGTTGAGTGCTTCAGCAACTCCTTAGAGCATATGATATAGGCTTCATCTCTCTCTCCCTGACGGATACTGCTATCTCATTGGTGAACATATTTGTTATGACACACCCACTTTTCAATGATCAAACAAAGTTCCTCCTAATGTTATAGCCAGGCCCCCAGGAAATGTGCCAGACTTTGATGTTAATTTGACATGGTGGCCAGACCGTGCAACTACAACTTCTGGACCTGTCACATGATACCATTGAGCCCAAGAAGACTTTTTTCCTACACACTTACATTGGGAAAGAAACATCTATAAATCAGTAGATAACCTATTTTTCAGCATCGCGATCCCTGTGAAATGACTCATTTCACTAACAGGATTTGATTTATTTGGTCTGATAACATTTTAAAAGTCTAGAGATGCCACATGATTAAATCATTTTATCCCCATTCAAGTTAGCAGGCAGCTAATCCGAAAGTTACTAGCTCCGCCGGCAACGTCTCTAGTGCACCCCCTCCATGGGCCACTGATGCGAAAGATCTGGGTAATTTCACACCTGGGAAGTCAAACTTTTTTGGCTCCATGTGCCACTGAGCAACTCAGAAATAAGTCACGATACTGAGGCTTGATACTCTTGAAAAGCTGTTTCATCTGGACTTTAAATGAGGAGATTGAACTACTCTCGTGTGTGCATAAAAAATGAAGCTATGAAGCACTTCCAGCAGCTGGTTAGCTTAGTTTAGCACAAAGACTACAAACTACCCCTAAGACACAGTCTTGCATATAACCTACGTAATGCCAGAGCATTCTGTTTTTATAGTTGTTTGGACTAAACAAACGACATATTTTTGTTACCTTTGGACAGAGCCAGGTGAGCTGTTTCCCCATGTTTCCAGTCTTTGTGCTATGCTAAGCTAGCCACCTGGTGGCTCACATTTACTGTGTGCAAATTTCCGAATCCTAGGATAGCCAAGGAGTGGCTCGCCTTACTCTGCCTCTTATTGGCTTACCCTGACATTCTTACCCTAACCCTAACCAAACCCATTTCTCTTGCCTAAACTTAACCAATCTAACCAACGAAAGCAACAAGTACTAGCCAATCACAGAAATGCCAGGGCGGGTCATTCCCTCACTACTGAGGATTCGATTATTGTGCAGACATGAGAGTGGTATTGACCATTTCATCGAACTCAAAAAAGCAAATATGTGTATTTTCAAAAAGTAGACGTATTCTTTAAGGGGAATGTTGGCAGTACTTATTGGTGGTACTACGTTTACCCACAATTTAGCCACTGTAAGCTTCTATTAAATACCCTGAATTTATCCCTGTTTGCTGTACAATTTAAAACTTACACCAGTGAGTCATTTGTTGTCTAGAACAGAGCCAAATCTCAGAAACTTCAGCCTAAACATGCCTCAGAAAAATGTCCATATAGCTAACACTTAACTCTCAAAAACTAGATTTTTAAGTCACTTGCAATGCTTTAGTTTAACTACTACCGGTGATGGATATAATGTATGATGTAATTGTTTCCACAATCTCTGGGGCATTCCAAAGAGTTTGACGTTAATATGAAATGTTTACTCTGATATGTATCTACACTGTTGAACAAGCACATGATGCACAATACTTAACTGGTTGAAAAATTCATGAGTTTCCACAGCCCAGTGCAGACGGGATGTGCCCGGCCTGTGTTCCTGTTTAATGCAGTGGCTACGACTGCAGCAGGAACACAGCAAAAAATAGAAACTGTGCCTGTCTCAGCACTGAGTGTTGCCCTGCGTAGAGTCCTTCATATGCATATTACATGAACAACCATGAATGATGTCTGATCATGTCATGAAAACAACATTCAAGTCTGTTTTTCTTCTGTTTTCTTTATTTTTACAGATGAAATTACCAACAGTTTCCGTCGCTATGGGCACCTGGTGGTAGACTGGCCCCACAAAGCTGAGAGCAAATCCTACTTCCCACCTAAAGGTAACAACAGCTTCTCAGAGTATAAGCTGCAGTTTCCCACCAGACATCAAAGTCTACGCCAATAAATATCACCTTGGGTGCATCGCCATTTTAGTTTTGTAAAGAATCATGTTACCCAGAATTCGTGGCTCATGCTGGGTAAGCATGGAGGTGTCTGTTTATCTGAAGGACCCCCTGTAGTCGTCTCCTAGAGACACACACAGAGTATATAATGACTCCTTAACTGGCCACTGGGAGTTTTGACCCCAGAGCTGTTTGCTTGAATGAGTACCTGAGGAGTGTAAAAGTTTTTCTGCTTTCTGCTCAGCCTCTCGGGTGTCATTTTCAGGCAGGTGATCAGAGTAGCTCTTCCAAGCCTCTGCATCACTCCCTCTGGCCCGGGAGCTGCTGTGTGTCATATTAGGAAAGCTATTAAAGACGCTCTGGAAATAACTGACATTCCGTAGGCAGATGGTAATACGCTGCATCTGGAGGACCTGTGAAAATCTCTGCCAGTTTTTCCCCCACTCTCATTTTTCAACATCCCTTTTTTTTTAGCTTGGGAGAATTATTTTGAAAAGGCTTGACTCTACTAATATCCAAAGCCAAGAGGAAAAATGCAGCATCCTTTTAGGGGAATGAATGAGCTTACGGAGGGTGGAGGACGCCGCCATGTAAGGGGAGGAGACATGTGGGACTAGTGATCTGTGTAGAATTCAGCTCGCACTCTAATTTAAACCTCCCCACTCCTAAACTCCAAGGGAAACTGCTTAAATGTCCTGTTTATATCACACTCTCCATATTAACTGGCAACTGAGCTTGGGCAGATGCCTGGTGACAGAGTTGTTAGCACTAATAGCTTCAGGGTTGACAGCAAGTGCACATCTGCATTTGTGTATGTGAGTGTGTCGCGCAGTCATGTGGACTGTGTGACGGCTGATTTACAGATGTTGGATTCGCATCAAGAGGTCATCGGCCTCTCCTCGTGTTAAATGTCCGTCCAAGTTTGACTGAATGGAAGATAGCTGTCACTTTCCGTCCTGCTTCGCATTAAACCGCCAGCGATGTGTGTCTGTACAGTTCCGAAAGTGTTTGGGTTTAGGGATGACTCATCATGTGGCTCAGTCCGACTTTAGGGGCAGGCAAGGACTCCTTTGGTACTCGGAGAGGACTGACGACTTAGCGAGGAAGTAGTAACAGGGATTAGCTGACTTTTCTCAATGCTCTTATGTTTTCACGACTTTGTATGATTCTGTCATGTACATTACCATCCATTATCCATCTGCAACTTTTCCGTTTGTGAAGCTAGAGGTGATACCATGATAATGCAGGGTATTTAACAACATGAATTTTATGTTTTCTTTTTTGCTGAAGGGAAAGTAGTCTATTTTTGACAGAGCAGGGGAGGTTCATTCCTCTTTATCTTGTCTTCATTCATGATATATTTTGTTTCATTCCTTTGCAAGATTTTCTTTGGCCCATAACTTTACTGGTTTGGTTCACTCTCACTGTTCTTATCAAGCTCATTTCCAGTCACTGCAGGCAGCTATTTTCAGCAAAAGAGCTGTGATGAACCTACTGTACACTGCTCATCCAGCGCCAATGATAAAGTTAGCTGCTAGCCAGAGAATAAAGTGGAGCATGTAACCACTGAAGAGCCAGATATTATTCTTAGAAGTTCGAGGAGAGCAAAGCTGAGCTTAGAGATGCATTTCACTGCTGGAAAACTAGTTTCTTCATGAAACTAAGCTGTGTATGCAGTAGAAAGATGCACATACTTTTTAAATTGGTGCTATATCACCAGGGAAAACAGAGATAAACGGCTGTGGCATTTGCTTTTGCTTAAGATGTAGAAAACCTACAACTACAGAATGCACTGTGCCACACTGGCCCAATAACCGCTCCCGCTAGCAGAAGACATAAATATGCTTGTCCGTTTTGACACAGGAAACAATATGGCAGCCGGCTAACACACTCGAATAACAGCTGAAAAGTTAGCTAAAATATGTTTCTGAAAATGTTTTGGTGAGAAATAGCTAACGTGGTAACGTAATCTTGCATCACATTTGATCAGCACTGTTTACGCTGATCTCAGTTTTTTCAGCCTCCAATTTTACAATACAGGAAACCGTATGATACCAGCTTCTGGTTCACAAATTCTTGTATTACAGCTAAACAGTGCACTAAAATATGTTTCTGGAGACATTTTAGGTGAGAAATAGGCAATGCAGTAACAGAATCTTAGTTTGTATTTGATCAGCACTGCCTAGCTTGATCTGCGTCTTGATCAGCTTTTATACTTTTTTTGTCAATGGTGGCAGGCATACAAAGGTGCGGAAGTACAATCTGTAGTCTGAGCAACAGCCTTAAAGCCAGCAAACAATGGGTGAGAGATGAGCAGGGAGATCTGGGTGCTGTTGAGATGGAAGCAGGTTTACTACAGTTCATTTACACAAACTATACATATTGTTATGGTACAAAGCTGGTCGAAAATATGCAAAGTATCCCTTTAAGGGAGAATAAATAGTGTATGTGCATTCATTAGGTGGCCAGAAACGTGAATCTAAGTGAATGCTAATGTGTCTGTTGGATGTGTAAACAGGCAACTGCTTGCTAGCACTTTCAATTTATGAGAAGATAGTATGTCAATGTTGTATTTACTTGTTCTGATGCCCCCAGTTGGTCAAAAATCCTTTAATGCTGCTTTAAATTGACACCTGTGAACAATGTGATTATGATGCACCCCTATTTCATGCTGCTTTTTTGGTCATCTCATTCTGAAATAAGTGGGCCCAATAAGCTCTGGTCACCATGGTGCTGTCGCTCACAGCTGCTCCTATTGCCCAATGCTGTCATCACTGTTGTTGCCAATGAGCTTGAAATTTTAGGGAGCTATTTGTGTCTGTGATTGGGGATTGAAGGGGGAGGAGGAGGAGGTGATGCTGTCAGTACGCTGGAGCCTGAGCGTTGGGAGCTATAAACTGCTACAAATGCTAATGCTCACGTCATGCTGCAATAACAGTGCGTCACACTTGTTTGAAGGCTTCAGCAGTTTACAGCTGTTTGTTCCTGACCACAACCTAGTCATTATTCGCTTTTTTTATGATGTGGTGAAGCAAAATGTACAGAACAGAATTCCCTATTTTCTCTTTTCCATATAACATGAAGGCAGCACGGCTGAAATAATGTCAGCAGAGAAGTGCTGCAGTGGCAACAATCGCAGTATTACATCTTACTGCATTACTGAGCCTTCGATTTATCTTTTCACCCTCGTGCTGGGATTATATCCAGCTAGTGACTTCTTCAAATTGAGATGATTAGCGACGCCTGATTTCACCCCTCCTCTACTCTATCACTGACTAGCCGCCAATTGCTTCAAAGCCTCAAGGCCTGTGTTTGTTTTTAGGAGAGCAGATGTTTGTGTCTCCCTCCATCCATCCTGCCAAGCCTTCTTCTTCTTCTGCTGTCAGCAGTCGGTCTGTTTACATTTTGTGGCAGAGTTATAACCCCCTGCAGGTTTCTTTTTCTCTCTCTACCCTCATGGGATAGATATACTGTACATGGAGGGTTGACTTCTTCTATGCTCTCAACGACCCCCAGACTTTTGGAGCAGGCCGATGTGTGTGTTTGCAGCTGTTAAGGCATTTTTATGCCTCCACAGCGGTGACAGCCGTGGTTGGAGGCATTAAGTTGTTGGGTTGTCCATCCATTTGTCTGTCCCATTTTCATGAAAGCAACATCTCTACACCTTAAGGGAATTTCCTCAGATTTGACATAAATGTTCATGTGGACTAAAGATGAATGATCAGATTTTGGTTGTTAGAGGTCAAGGTCACTGTGACCTCATGTCCGTCCCATTCTCATGAACGCAATATGTCAGGAACGCCTTGACAGAATTTCTTCACATTTGGCACAAACATCCATTTGGACAACCTGATTAGATTTTGGTGGTCAAAGGTCACTGTGACTTCACAGGTTTTTTGGCCAAAACTCAAGAATTGATGTGCCAAGTATGATGAAATTTCACACAAATGTTTAATAGGATGAAATGAAGAAGTGTTGACATTTTGAATTCAAAAGGTCAAAGGTCAGCTTTACTGTGGCACTTTAATGTTCTGCTAAAACATCACTGGGGAGCAGAAGGGGAGATATTCGGTCAGATACTGCATTGGTGACACTAATCTTGGGTGCCCACTTTGAAACAGTGTTGATTGTATAGATCATCTACTCAGTTGAAGATGTGTGTGAAGCATCCAAGTTTAAGAATTTGTCGCTTCATTGCAGCAACATTTATATTTGAAGCACTGTCTACTGTCATGGCTACATATGAATCTGGATGTAAACTGGAACCTGACTGATTGGCAGAGGCAGACAATAGCAAGGCAGTAATTCTATTTTTTTCTCTCCCTCTTGTTTGCCCCCATGTTTCTCTAATAGCAAGTGGCTGATTTATTCCTCAGTCACTGTGGTCACTGGGATCAAACATGTCCGTGCCCTCGCCTGCGTGAACTAAATCTGCAGACACATGTCTGAGTATGAAAAGATAAGCCAGGATTTAAATGTCACTATTAAAGCCAAAGGGATGCACATTGTGACCACGCTCGCTCAGTTTATCTAGTCATCATGGATTGGATTTCAGCAAAGTCAACACAACTCTCAGCTGATGAGGTAATGGAGAGAAGAGGATAGCAATGTGGGACTTCTGTACAAGTGTGGTATGTCGAAAAGTAAAGTATCAGCTCGCACCAGGTACCAGTGCATTACTTTCACTCAGGAGGGTATTTTTAGACCATCCAGACCATCTGGGTTCATAACTCAGAAGACATTGAGAGCCTTTTCTGGAAGCTGCTCTGCATTGAATTCTGACACATTGTATTTGATTTTCATGATGTGGAAAGCACTTAAAGGAATCATTTGACATTTTGAGGAAGAGGCTCATTCACTTCATTGCCAAGAGTTAGCTAAGAGAATCGATACCACTTTCATGTCTGTATAGAGTGCTCCAGGGATAACTTTTTTCT